ACCAGCCCCTCTCCCCACAGCCCCTACTCCCCTCCCCTCGGCCAACCCCTCGCTCCCCCCCACACCAGCCCTGCTCCCCCCCTCACCAGCCCTGCTCCCCCACCCCCCACCAGCCCCTCTCCCCACAGCCCCTACTCCCCTCCCCTCGGCCAACCCCTGCTCCCCCCCCACCATCCCCGCTTCCCTCCGCCTGCCAGGCCCCATTCCCTTCACCTTGGCCAACCCCTGCTCCCCCCCTCACCAGCCCTGCTCCCCCCTTCACCAGCCCTGCTCCCCCCCGCACCAGCCCTGCTCCCCCTCCCCCCACCAGCCCCTCTCCCCACCAGCCCCACTTCCCTCCGCCTGCCAGCCCCCATTCCCCTGCCCCCACCATCCCCAACTCCCCTTCCCATGGTCAACCCCTGCTCTGCCCTCCCCCTGTCAGTCCCTGCTCCCCTCCACCTGCCGGCCCCCATTCTCTTTCCCCCACCAGCCCCCACTCCCCTCCCCACAGTCAACCCCTGCTCTGCCCCCCCCCATCAGCCCCCACTCCCCTCCCCCCACCACCCCTGCTGCCTTCCACCCCACCTACAGTCCTGCTCCACCTTTACCCTGGCTGCCTCTACCCCAGGTCCAGCCTCCTTCCAGCCCTGGAGCACCCTCTGCCGAGCACCTCTTGCCCTCTGTGTATCCTAGACTGTCCATCCCGACCCCCCGGCACTCTCTGCCCCCTTGGCCCCATGGAGTTCCCCTACCCAACTCCCCAGGCATCTCACTGAGCCACACTGGGCCCCCGCTGTTGCTCCTGCCAGGTTCTGCCAGGCAAGCCCGGCCCAGCAGCGCACCCTCCCTCCCACTGACCCCCTGCCCCAATATGCTCATATCGTTCAGCCCAGGCCTCATGCCATCCAGCACCTGCCCCCCTCCATCCCACGACCCTCGCCCTGTGCCGGGGCAGCGCTAAGGGGTGTCTCTCACTGCAGGTGAAGCGGGAGCTGGCCTCTGTGCTACTGTTTGAGTCACACCCCAAAGCGGGCACCGTGTGTGAGTATCACAGCCTGCCCCAGCCAGTGACTCTATGAGCGTGCTCCTCCCAGCCTGGGCCCAGAGGGGGGTGTCCTTCGCTCTGCCAATCTGGTTCCTGGGGCACCACTCTACCCAGCCTGGGGCCTGGCATCCTCTGACCAGGAAGTTACACCTTGGAGATGCAGCACCAGGCACTGCCCCATGGTGTGCCATTGCCTGGCACCGCACAGCAGACTGACCAGCACCAGAGAGGGCAGTGACCCCCCTGGCACCCACTGCAGGGCTCCGATCCCAGGGACCCTTGTGCCCACCAGACCCTGCAGGAAGGGAAGGGAGGAGCCCCGGGGCTGTTTGCTGGGGTGCAGGACCTGAGCCCTGTGCTCTCTGAGTTCCTGGGCGGTCAGCGTGGGAATGGCTGGAAACAGTGACATTCAGCGTTTGGCACATCCCAACCCCACTGTGCTGCCCCACAGGTCCTCACGGCTTAGGGGACGGAGCCGGCCAAAGCACCAGCCCTGAGAGTGCTCGTCCCGTGCTCCCCAGGGCAGGGCTGGGCTGGGCAGGGCAGCTCCCCTGGAACGCATAGCCTCTGCGAGGCTGGGATGTGCGATCTAGACCCCTGACAAGGGCTGCCCCATCTGCAGTCGCTTGGGCTCCCTGGACAAACCACGGCTTCTTTGCAGTGTTCAGCCAAGGAGACAAAGGCACCTCGTGGTACATCATCTGGAAGGGCTCAGTGAACGTGGTCACCCATGGCAAGGTATGTGCTTCCCTGCCCTCCACGCTGCCCTGCCCCTACAATCCCACTGGGCCTTACTGCTGGGACGGAACCAGGACCTCCAGGCTCCTCCCCCTGCAGGCCCACTGGGCCCCACTGCTGGGACAGAACCAGGACCTCCAGACTCCTCCCCCTGCAGGCCCACTGGGCCTAGGGTGACCAGATAGTGAGCATGAAAAATCAGGACGGGGGAGAGTACAGTTGCCTATGTAAGACAAAGCCCCTAATATCGGGATATCTGGTCACTTTACCTGGGCCCCACTGCTGGGACGGAACCGGGACCTCTCGGCTCCGCCCCTTGAGAGCAACCAGTGGAGGTGGGAGCTGAAGGGCCTGTGCCCCCTGGGCCAGCATGGTGCTCCCCCTACATCCCAGTGCCTCCCGGATCCCCTGCTCCCCAGCCGGCGGGTGATGGTGTGGGGGTCTCTGGTTTCTCACCCAGCTGCCACCCCCAGGGCCTGGTGACCACCCTGCACGAGGGGGATGACTTTGGACAGCTGGCGCTGGTGAACGATGCCCCCCGAGCCGCCACCATCATCCTGCGGGAGGACAACTGCCATTTCCTGCGCGTGGACAAGCGAGACTTCAACCGCATCCTCAAGGTGGGCCCAGACCCTGAGCCACGGGGCCCAGCCATCCCCAGAGGGCAGTTCTCCTGTGTTCCCCTCCCTGCTGCCCCTGCCAAGCAGGCTGTGGGCACCGGCACCGCTGCCTCTTTGGTCTGTGGATCATCTCACATCACAGAGCCGCATGGCCCTGTGTCCATGGCGTACCAGGCTGGGGATAGGCTGCGGACACTGTGCAGCAGGAGGGTGTGTTGGGGGGTGTGTGGCTGACACATGTCCTGCCCCTTGCCTTGTCCCAGTCCTTGCTTTGCCCCCAACTCTGCCCTCGCCCCAGTCCTTGAAGTGCCCTCTTTTGGCCCCAGTCATTGTCCTGCCCCTTGCCCTGCCCCAGTCCTTGCAGTGCCCCCTGCCCCGCCTCTGGCCGTACTCTGCCCTACCCCTGCCCCAGTTCTTGCACTGCCCCACCCCACCCCTGCTGACCCATCTCACTGGGACAGTTCAGCAGCAGCACTGACGTTGGATTCTCTAGGATGTTGAGGCCAATACCATGCGCCTGAAGGAGCACGGGAAGGTGGTGCTAGTGCTGGAGAAGAACCTGCAGGGGAGCGGCTCCAGCAACCAGTCACCGTCTGCGGGGAGCAGTAGGTACAGCGGCTTCTACCCCTGCGGCCAAAACCTTGCCAGGCCTGGGACCAGCAGCACCCCAGGGCCCAGGCGGCACTGAGACAGATTTGGGTTGTTCCCAGGGAGACCTCACTGCAACCCCAGGCTGCCCCATGCAGCTCCCACCCTCATCCCATCGCCTCCCTCTGACGGGGTCCCACTGTCTGATGCAGCAGAGTGGGGAGCTGTTGCTTCTGCTTCCCTTGGCCTCCCAGAATCCACTGCAACATTTCAAAGGAGCTGTGGTGCGTGTTGCAAAGGATGCTGGGACACATCTGAGCTGTGGGCCCCAGCTGCCAGATTGGGAGCGTGTGTGGGGCAGGTAGCGGCATCTCTGTAGTTGGCCACCTGGTGGCTCTGCTGAGCCTGTGTGGGCTGTGGCTCGGCCACGTATCTAGGGGATGAGGCTTATGCCCCTGTGAGAGTCTGACATGCCTGGGTGTGCTCTGTCCTCCAGGTACTCGGTGATGGCTGGGACCCCTGACAAGATTCTGGAGCATTTGTTGGAAGCCATGAGGCTGGACGCGACGTTCTCAGACCCCCTGGGTATGTGCGGGTTGGCTGGGCTGGGGTCGCCACATGCCCAGACATGCGCCCCCGGATTCACGTTCCCACGGATACAGGTGCACGGACACACACAGATACACGCGCTCCCAGATACACAGGCACAGACATGCCTGTGCGCAGAGATACATGCGTGCACGGACATGGGCATGGATACACATGTACACAGATACACGCTCATGGACACACACATGCAAATGAAGAGCTTCTCTGAGCTGGGACGTGGTGCCAGGCTCTCCCAAGACTAAAGGGAAGTGCTGCACTCAGCCAGTTCATAGAGCAGAGACTGTCTTACATCCTCCACACAACGCCCATAGCTAGAGCCTTACCAAATTCATGGTCCAGTTTGGTATATTTCATGGTCATAGTATTTTAAAAATATTGACTGTCATGGTTTCAAGATATTTAAATCTTACATTTCAGTGTTGTAACAAAGCATGGCTATGTATTTAAAACCACAAACATATACAGCCCTTAAGTCACCATTTCTCAAACGGGGGATCCTGACCCATCCTTACTTCTGCGCTGCCTTCAGATCTGGGCAGCTGGAGAGCGGCAGCTGCTGGCTAGGCACAGAGCTCTGAAGATAGCGCAGAAGTAAGGATGGGTCCATGGTTTGTCCAGGGAGCCCACCATCAACAGCAGCACAGAAGTAAGGGTGGCGATACCATACCAGGCACCCTCACTTCTGTGCTTCTGCTGGTGATGGCGTTGCCTTCAGAGCTGGGCAGCCGGAGATGCTCTCTAGCCATCCAGCTCTGAAGACAGTGCAGGGGGCTGGGATGGTTGGGGAGATGGTGGGAGCGCAGGGGGCTGGGATGGTTGTGGGCTTGTAGGACCTGGGGGCTGGGATGGTTTGAGGGAGCTGGGATGGTTGGGGACTGGGAGTACAGGGGGCTGAGGTGGTTTGGGGGCAGGGGACTGGGATGGTTGAGGGGATGGTGGGAGTCTGCTGGGCTCAGAGCCCCCTGCCTGGGGATTGCTGCTGGGCCCAGAACCAGTAGGTCCTGCCTGGGGTGAGGACCCTTTAACGCGTGCTGGGCTGGTGTTTTTCAGATACCTTGGTTGGGGATTTCCTGCTGACCTACAATGTGTTCATGCCAACCACCCAGTTCTGCAGAGCCCTGCTGCACCAATATCCTTTTAGGGCTGCAAGGACCCGCACCTCGTGGGGCAGCCGGGGAGGGGGTGGGTCATGGGGGTTTCCTCCTGACCACGAAAGACAGAGAAACAGAGAGAATCTGTGAGGAGCCCGCCAGAGAACCACTGGGGGGGGTCTGTAGCTCTGTAGCCTGTGTGTTCTGCGCTTGGGCTCCGCTGTCGGAAGAGACAGGCCCATTCTCAGGGCCCACTGGCCCGGGGGTGCCACCCCCTCCACACTCACTCAGGGAGACCCAGATCCTGGCTTATTTTGCTGGTCTCAGTCTAAGGCTATGTCTGCACTGCCAAGGGCTGTGAATAAACCACCCCCTTGAGCGACGTAAGTTACACCGACCTAGGCGCTGGTGTGGACAGGCTGCGTCGGTGGGGCGTCGCTGCCGCCACTCGTTGGGGTGGAGTAACGAAGTTGATGGGAGAAATCTCTCCCACCTGCATAGAGCCGCTTACACCGGCTCTGAGCTCTCTAGCGTGGCCATAGTCCGCGTCCCCCTTGCTCAAAGCATCTGCTGCCTGGGGCCAGTCTGCACACTGCACAGGGGCCGTATGCAGAGAGCAAAGGCCTCCCAGCCGCTGAGCTTCGGACTAGACAGAGCTGCTTGCACGTGGCGGGGTCTGGGATGTGGAATGGGGTGACTGTCAGCAAACGGGCAGTGCTGTTAAAACCAGCAATGTGGGCGTCCTGCTCCCCCTCCCTGCCCATGCCGTGGGTCCGATCGCCTCCAGCTGTGCACGCTCCCCACATGCCTGTGCTGTGGGGCTGATTGGTTCTGCTGTTCTCCGGGTGCACACTGCAAGGCTCGCCCCTCTCTGCAGTGGGGCCGATTGCCCCTGGGCATGCCCTGCAGACTTGCTGCCTGACCCCATTGCTGCTCCCAGCACACACTGACCTAGAGGCTTCCTTGACTGGCCCCCACTTTCCATGCGGAGCCCTCCGAGGGCTCGGAGCAGGAGAAGGCTGTCTACTCCCTCAGCAAGCGGCAGAAGATCGTGAGGCTGGTCAGCCAGTGGGTGTTGCTCTACGGGTCCCTCTTGCAGGCCGAGCACTGTGCCATAACCCTGCTGCAGGTACTGCGGGGGAGGGGGCAGGGGAGGCGCTAAGCAGCGGGCTCAAGGGGGCTGACATCCAAGGGAATAACGAGGCTGGTCCTGGCCTCGGAGCCGCTGAGCTCTGTCCCCTGCCACCCCTGGCCACCGTTCCTTGCACGCCCCTTGCCAGTGGGGACGCAGCCCATGAGGACGTGATTCCATAATCCAGCACCAGGAGCGCTACCCTAGGAAAGAAAAACTGCCCCCGGCTACTGCCCCCCGCATAGCAGGAGTCCATCCTTATAGCCCCAGGGACCCAGACACTCAATCTGCCACAGGTCATACTGGCATTGCCAGGCGTGTCATGTGGGGGCATTGCTTCCCATGGAGCCCACCCCCCCGGGAGAGATTTCCAGGCCCCTGCGTAGGGTGACCTCAGGTGTCCCAGCACATGCTCTAGAATCACGGTGCAGCCTTGGTACTGACTAGCCAGAGCCTTTGTCCTGCAGAACCTCTCGGACTTCGTGAGCCGGGATCCTCGCCTGTGCAACCTGCTCCGGGACCAGACACAGGATCGTCGAAGGAACAGAACGTGAGTCCCCACCTCCTTACATCCGAACCCCTGAGGCCCCGTCCGTGCCTAGACGGAGCCATGCCTGTGCCTCACGCGGGCCTGAGTCCTGGAGAGGCTGCGGTGTAACCCGTGCGGCAGTGACTGGAGCGCCGGACTCCTGGGTCCTAGTCCCAGGATGGATGCGCAGGTGTGTGGGGTTAGAGAGTCAAGAGGTCTGCCTTCTACCCCAGCCCTGCCGCTAACTCGCGCGGCTGGGCCAGGCCTCTCTGTGCCTCAGAGGGAATGGACTTGGGAGGCTAAGGGCTCTTGGACATGCAGCGAGGACACGCTCTGTGGAGGAGGAAACTAGTCAGTATCATTCGGACCCTCTCTCCATCCAAGTATCTTATCTCCTAGAACTGGAAGGGACCTTGAAAGATCATTGAGTCCAGCCCCCTGCCTTCGGGCCCACGGGCTCTCATCCGTGTGTGTTTCTCCTCTTTGCAGACTGGAGAACGGTGGCGGAAGCGCATCTCCACAGTCCAAGGTACCGACAGCCTAGCAGCGCCGCGGGGCACCTGCTGCCCCTTCCGAGGGGCATGATGGGTGGGCAGGGAGCCAAGGAAACGCCCCGAAGGGGAGTGGCCCTGACACAGGCTGAGGGCGATTGTGTGGGACTTTGAGGGCTTGGCTCACCTGAGCTGCCCTGTGGGTCTCCGTGGAAGTGCTGTGCCCTTGGGCTGTGAGCATGGCAGATGGCAGTGTCTGCCCGTCAGCCCCCTAGTCCCATCCCAGCTTCTTCATTCCCCCATCCCAGGTTCGGAGCACAGTGAACTGGATCGCCAGCCTGGAGGATGCCACGCTGAATAACAGCTGTGCCATCGGAGCCCAGGACAAAGGTACAGCTCTGCGTCCGCCCGTCACACACACAGACTGCTTCCGCCCCCCCCCAGACTGCTTCCGCCCCCTCACCCACACACATACACACCAGACTGCTTCCACCGCTTCACACACACACACACACA